CACACACACACACACACACACACACACACACACACACAGAGCCGCTATTTCCTCCCACATTTTCAGTTTATCCTAATTTTGTCTTGTACCAGTCAATAGTTATCTTGTGTGCAGTTAGCTACAACACTGAGTTGTTTGTTCAGTTGTTTTCACTCGCAAAAAAAGTCACTAGTCTGTTGCGGACCATCAAAATAAAGTGTTAGCAGATATTAAGCAGACAGTCTACTAATAAGTGACATGTAGTTGCAACGTTACTTATAGTTAGTAGAATGTCTAAAGTGGACTATCAAAATAGATGTATTTGCCTTTGTGCATTTATGTATTTTGAATCATTCTGCTTTTTGTCTGTGAATAATGTAGGTCATTGACATGACACTCATTTTTGTCTGCCTAATTTCTTAAAAATACATTAATAATTAAATTAATATATACAAATTAATATATGCAATGACTTGAATAGACCTTTTTGAGCATGTTAATTTCTGAATTTAAATTCATGTTAATTTTAGAACATAATGTAAAAATGTCAGGGTGATATAACTGATAATATGGAGAATATATATATAAAAATACAGGTTGCTCTAGTCTACAGTACAATAAAAACATATTGCAAGTTTCAGCGCTCAAAACTAGCTCCTTAATTTAAAATATGAACTATTCTTTTCTATTCTACTGATACGCCCGGATTGGAAATCGGGAGAATTTGGAGGTCACAGCAGTTTATCAGTAGAAAAAAAAATTATCTGTAGAAATATATGTAGAAATATAGATATATGTATCTGTAGAACAAAGAAATGAAAATACATGCTTTTACGAATTTGTGTTGATCCTTGAAATGAATACCTGGCAACCTAAGGACTCCTGAAAGATTGAGTGAAGGTGAGATGGTATGAAGGGCACATTCACAATCCAGAAGTTACATGATTTTGGCAGTAATTTAGAGGTTAACTGAGTTTGGCATCGTAGATTAATCGTAGACAAAACAGTAGTAAAAGGCATAAAGGTAGGCCACATATTATGATTTAACATGATTATCTGTAAAGCTGCTTTTATGAATGGCTGTGACAGCATATCAGATTGTCTTATTCATATTTATATGTTACATTTTAAACAATTTATCATGCAAAGGGCTGAAAATTAAAATCAGAGTAAAAGAAGAATTAAAGGGATAATTCACCCAAAAATGAAAATTTTGAAATAACTTACTCACCCTCATGTTGTTCCAAACCTACATAAGTTTATTTATTTTGTTAAACATAAAAAGAAGATATTTTGAATAATATGGGTAACAGTTGCTGGTCCCGTTGACTTCCTTAGTATGGAAATATAAATTAAAAAAAATAAAAAAATAAATGCATACATACATACATTCTATGTCAATGGGGACCAGCAACTGTTTGGTACACATATTCTTCAAAATATCTTTTGTGTTCTGCAGAAGAAAGAAACTCGTACAAGTTTAGAACAGCATGAGAGTGTGTAAATGTAACAAAATAAGCAAAATTTTAATTAAAATTTTAGGGCCCTTTATGGGAATCCCGTAGTTGTCAACTGTGATTGGATGGAGGAAAATTTGGACTAGTTTTCATTCCTTTTGGGCGGGTTTTGAGTCACCTTTGAGTTGTAAATTTTACAGAGACCTGGCAACCTTGTATGTCTATCCATCAACCACAAGAGCGATACTGCCGTTAGATAAAGATGTCGAGACCGTCAAACTTAGAAGTTGTACTTATCAAAATTATCATTTTTTGCAAGTATTATACCTTGGTGCAAAAAAACTTTGCATACTTCATAAACTCGATAAAAAGACCAAATAAGGTTAGTTCAGCTTGTAATATTTAATGTGGTGACATATAACAAGCAATATTATATGTAAAGTTTTTACAAAATATATTGTAAACACTTTTGAAAACAATGATTAAAATATGTACACATACATTGAGGGAGAAAGTACTATATAAAATGATATTTTTAGTCATTACATGTAAACTCTTGAAAATGGTTTGAAAGTTTTTCCAAAGCCATATGAAGCAACATGAATACCAAAAAAACAACAACATTTCTATAAACTTGGCATATATGTTTTTTTAATAGATTTTTTTCTCTTTTTTTATAATGGATGCTTTTATGTGTCATTGGCCTTCCTAATAATCTCCACACCTTAGTGTTATTATATATGTTTAAAGAGGGATTTTCTCTAAGTAGAAGTAAAGACTGAACCTAAAGTGAGAAAGTAGAAGTTACTAAGCATAACTTTTTCTCTCTCTTGGTACTAAATATATCTCAGTTGTGTGTGTGGTCCACCCCCACATTTGTGGGGACAGGATATGTGTCAGGTCCTGTCATACTGTCTCTCTGAGAGTGAGGGCCAAGTGAGCGACAGGAAGCCTGTGGTTCAGCGAGCTGCTTTCTGTGCTGATACAGCGTTCTTGACCCTGTTTCTTTTCACTTGTTCAATGCCTTTTTGTGCAGGATCAGGGGCTTAATCTTTGCGTGCTAGTTTTGCCATTCTGCGGCACTAGGCTTATGCAGACCACACATGCATATGAGTCACGTTGTTTGGCTAGATATAAAAGTTCATGCTGAACTTGTCCAAAAACCTGATCAGGGTGTTGTTTATAATTAGAATGATATATTAAACATTTTCAAAGGACTTTCCCTTCAGTGTGTCCACACACCCACTCTACACACTTCTTTCATACATGTCATAAACTTCTAAACTTTCCTCTGCCATGCCTCTGTCAAACTCTCTCTCTCTCTTTCTCGTCCCTCCCTCACGTTCACTCAGCTTTGAGTCAGAGTTGCAGTTGTCCTCAGTGACAGCCGCAGCAGTTAGAGGAAGTGTAACACAGTGTGCAGCTCTCACTCTGACTGTTTGGCCAGCACAAGTTTTTATACATGTGCCATATAAGATGTAGTCCATTGATAGCCTCACAAGGACGAAAGGTAAGGCAGTAGACTTCTTTTTCTTAGACTTAGACAACATCAGACAGTTGCAGCTTGCTGGAGGTATCCTGTGAAATGTGATTCTGATTTCAGCACTGAGAAACCAAGCTATCGGAAAGTTACATAATTACGAGCTATGTCGGTCACTGAAAAGGTCCCTTTTGTTTCACTTATTTGGTTAACATTTTTTTGCACTCGTTCTGGCTTTTTGGATATTGTAGTATTGTTTTTTGCTCTCCTTTTCTCATTCCTCTCTCTAGTTTCTTGGAAGTAGATTATGTCACTTAAAAGTAGATTCTGTTACTTAGATTCTGTGACTTAAAATGTCTTAGCAATGGAGCAGTTAGTTGCATTGTGTTGCTGGTCAGTTATAAACCATATCTGAGAGGATGAAATGAAGGGGAAGTTTTCTTGTGAAATCAGTAGTGGGTAAAAGTGCACCTGAGGCTGTTAGCCATGGTCATGTGTGAGTGTGTTTGCTTTTTGGTAAAAAACCTTAGCTATCAATTACTGTAAAGAGTTTACTGTTAAAACAGAGTGCATATAATCATGCCCAAAATAACTTGATATTACGTTCTGTGTTTTATAAGCTCAAAACTATGCAATTTAAGTTAGATTAACATTCAGCATCATGAAGTGGAAAATAGAAGAGTCAGGTTAATGTGACCAGCACATTAAAGGGATATTTCAGCAAAACATTTACTCGAGCTCATGTGTCTTTCTTCTGTGGAACACAAAATAATTTATTTTGAAAAGATGTTTCTGTGCTCTTTTTTTTTTTTGGTCAGTGAAATTTAATACCAATGTTGTTTTGACCCAAATATTCCACACATTATGTTATTTGGTGTTCTGCAGAAGAAAGAATTGGAACAGCATGAGAGTAAGTAAATTATAACAGAATTTTTATTTTTGGAATGTTCTTTAGTAAATTGTAAATGTAAAGTAATGTCTTTTTATTTTCTCTTGATTTTTATGTAACAATGTTCTGTATCATTTTGTGTGTGTATGTGTGTGTGTTTGTGTGTGTGTGTGTGTGTGTGTGTGTGTTTGTGTGTGTCAGCAGTCACAGTGATGATTATTTCCGCTTACCTCATTACGTAAGGACCAAGCCACAGTATGGCATCCTGGAGAAATTCTAGCAGTATTAATGTTATGGACTCAGCAGGTGAGAGTTACACCTTTTGGAGACACTTCTGGTAAATTATAAATAACAAAAGGTGCTTTTTGACAAATCACTATTTGAATATTTGATTATCCATTTGACACTTTTAAAATGTACAGTTCCATTCAAAATTTGGGGTCCAATTTAAAAAAAAAAGTTTTTAAAAGACTGTAAAAGTCTTTTAAAGACTGTAAGGCTGTAGAACATATTGTGAAATATTACTACCATTTAAAATAACTGTTTTATATTTTAATATATTTTAAAATGTAATTTATTCCAGTGATGGCAAAGCTGAATTTTCAGCAGCCATTATTGCAGTCTTCAGTGACATTATGACAGTTAAAAACAGTATTTTGATGAACTTTCCAACTGACCCTAAACTTTTGAACGGTTGAGTATCTCACACATATCAATTGATTTATATCAGCATTCAAATGCTATGTTGTTGGCTTCTCTTTAAAAAGCTGAATATGCTGCCATTGAATCTGAAATCTACCGTAGCCTGCTAACCATTATAAGAGAAATGGACACTGAGCAACCAGTTGTCAACAAAGGTAGGACTCACACCTACAGATTACACCCAACAAAAGAAACACATACACCTGAAGGCCAAACCCAGATGCAGTTGATTTCCTTACATGCTATGTAAAGAAAAAGGCAGGCTATAAAAGACATGGTTCCTTTAAGAACCACAATCTGCAATCTAATCGTCAGTGTCATCTGTTGATGTTACATATAAAGGCCATGTAAACAAGGTGCACTAATCTGTAAGCATCAGTATCATGGAACAACTGGGGTGCCAATTTCAAGTGGCTGTATCAATGCACAAAATTTGTTGCATACATATTCTAGTTTGGTGTATATAAGAGCTGTTCATTTTTGTTCGTTCTGCAGGGATGCTGAGATGGACATTACATAAGAAAGTGCAGGGCAGTTCTCTCAAGAGTCTGGCTTTGGTGAGAGTGGCCATCAAGGAACTAGAAAGAGTGAGTCACTAGTTTCTATGGCATAATGCTTGTTGAAATATAGCATTAAAATTCCCATTTTAGTGATTGACAAAAATATGTTCAGTTAGTATTTCCCAAATGCTATTACTGTATTTAAATTCCTAGTGTTTATTACGACAACGTTACTTGAAGGTACTTGCCTGAAAAACTTGAGATGATTATCTGTCGCTACTGTCACTAAGAAAAAAATAGTTAATTTGTTACAGTTATAATAGTTAACAGTAATGGGATAATTAACTACTAATAACAGTTAATTAACTCATAATTAATGATGATTAACATAATTTCAACACACAAAGGACAGCGATAGGCTGTGAGGATTTATAGAATGGTTTATATGAATTAGTGAATGATTGGATGGATAGATAATAAACATGATTTTCCTTCTTTTCATATATAGGCTGAAAGAACTGACTGCAAGAAACATCTCATTCCTCTGCTTAATACACTCATATATGCTGTGATGCAGGTAAGAGAAGGGATGGCTGCTCTTCTTCTTTTTAACTTTCCTTAATTTTACTTTTAGACTAGTGATGAGACTCAGCTGGTTTTGAATCAGGATCCAGATATTTCATCAAGTGGTGATGTATTTAGCAAACATATCAGAACAGACCAATCAGTTGAAAAGCACTGGTTTAGACATTGGCACATTTGCTTGGTTAAAAATGTCTTCACTTGTATGCACAGAGAAGTGTAATTTCCAGAAAAATGTTGGTCAGTTCAATCAATTTGCATCTTCTGAAGAACATTTGCTTTAAAATGAAAATGTTGTCATCATCTATCCATTCTTATCAGATAGTCAAAGTTGCTCTTTTCCATACAACACAATTTTTAGAAATTTAAATTTGAACCCAGGTCCCTTTGTATGCTAAACAAAAACTGTAGAAGCCACTAACATCCTGCATGACATCCTTATGTTTCTTTGCAGACTGTATACATACCTGATGACCTCTATAAAAGAGTTTATGACTTCTGCAAGAGGTTGTTGACTCTGCCTCAGCCATACTGCACTGTGGGCCTTAGTTATGCTGGCCAAATGAAAGCAGAACGATTTGCTCCAGGTTTGATACCTTGTTACTTTCCTCAAACAAAATATGACAAGCATCTCTCCTGATCTTAGTTTTTCTATTGGCTTGAAGCCAAGAAAACATGTCATAAACAAGAAACATGATCCCTGTGAGTCTGATCTACATTGTTTTTTTTTTCTCATAGGCCTTTTGTATCAGAAAAGGATAATTGCAGAACAAAATCTGAAAAATGAACACTATCCTCAGCAGGAGAGGTGAGTCAGTGTGTCACTGTGAGTTAATGTGATCTAAATAAGTATTGAACACCTAAGTCATATTTAAAAAAAATTTTTTTTAAATCTTTTTATATATAAAAAATAAGTGGCAAATATAGCCACTTTATATAGCAAATATAAAGATAATTCATTCATCACAAACACTACAACATTATAGAAACAAATAAGAATTGTCCATTTTGATTTCATGGTTACTTTAACATTAATGCAATAGCTAAAATGAAATAATAACATTTGCAGAATTTGTTAATCTTGGGTAATTTTATTTGTATATACTAATACATTTCAAGTTTAATAAATTATTGCATTATCAATTAATTAATGAAATTAACAATGAGCAATTTATACATTTATTTATAATTTATTTATAAATTTATAGAACAATAAATTGTTCATTGTGAGTTTGTGATACCTTATTGTGTTAAAGTATTGTGTAACCCAAACACTGTTTAGCCACTTCCCGGTTGTCAAACATTAGTGGAGCATGTCTGTATTAATAATGATGCACTACACATGTGAACATAATTATTTATAGAAAAGGTCTATTGCCATTTGTGTTTTTGGAGCAATCAGGGCCCTAATCGTTATTTTTAAAGTGTTGTTTATATTACTGTAACATTTGCTTACTAATTGCTGAACCTGTACTACTGTCATGGTAGTCTTGCGTAGCCAGACCTTCAGACTGATGACTGAAGGTCTGGAATTCATGGCAGCTTTCATTGGCCAAGGCCCGCCCATGGGGCCGTTTGACCGACATGTCAAACAACCAATCACAGTTCGTTACGTTCAGCATCATGTTTCGGGCGTGGAAATGTCGCCACAATAACAGACCGGTGTGTAAAACTCTCGGACGTATTTTAAAGATTCTATGCCGCGAACTTTAAATATTTCACATACTATTGAAAAAAGCAAAAGTACGGCATCTATATTTCCAGGCGGAACGTTAAAGAATGTGACATGCACGTCCACCGGAAATCCTGTATAATTCAACCAATCCGACAACGACTTCGAAACTCTTGAAGTGTTTACACTTTTGTGTGCCATATGCATCAGACGTTTAGCCAACGGTCCGTGGGCGTGACGTCTGAGGCGGAGACTACTGTCACGGTTGCCTTCTGTGGCAAAACAGAACACGGAGATGAGGATAAACTCAAAATAAACAGTCTTTAATCCACAATCCAAAAGAGTTAAGACAAGGCGGGGAGCACAAGGCAGGTAGTGATACACAAGAACCACAACATTGACGTTATTACCGGACGCTAGATACAGGAAAACACAGGGCTTAAATACTCAAACTAAACGAGATAATTAACAAACACAGGTGGATCGACACTGGAGCGAGCTCTGGGGCTGGAGCCGACCGCCTTCTCCTCCTTCGATTCCTCTTTTGGTTCGTGGTGAGAGGCGTTGTCTGCGGACTTGAGTGAGCCGCGGCCGGCGGGCTTGACTGATGAACGGCCGACAGACTTGACTGATGAGCGGCCGGCAGACTTGACTGATGAGCGGCCGGCAGACTTGACCGATGAGCGGCCGGCAGACTCGCAGTACTCGCGGTGATCCTGCATAATTCCCACGCTTACTCCACGAAGGGGAGATCTCAGTGGGCTAAGGCGGAAAAATGAGTGGCGACTTCCATGCTGCGGGAAGAAAAAACAAGAAAACAAATGACTTTCAAAACCAGAAAAACAAAACTAGGAGAAGGGGCGCCGCTTACTGTATTGGTCCGGTAATCTGTCACGGTTGCCTTCTGTGGCAAAACGAAGAACACGGAGACGAGGATAAACTCAAAATAAACAGTCTTTAATCCACAATCCAAAAGGGGTAACACAAGGCAGGGAGCACAAGGCATGTCGTGATACACAAAAACCACAACATCAACGTTATTATCGGACGCTAGATACAGGAAAACACAGGGCTTAAATACTCAAACTAAACGAGATAATTAACAAACACAGGTGGATACTAATGAACTAATAATGAAACAATGAGGACAGGAACAGGAACATAAACAAATATGGGCATAAGGAAACATATGGGGAGCAAAACACGGAACAGAGTCTGACAACTACCAGATTTTTCCGTTTTGGAACACTTTAGAATGGGGATTTCTAATTATTTAAAGCTATAATCATAGAAGGGAACAAGGAAGGCATTGTTGACAGTGCTCTTTATTGTTTAGTTAGTCTAGGTGTGCCCTTTTCTAATGCAGCACAACATAACATAGGCGTAGATGGGGAAAACCAGCACAGTAATTAATGAATTAACGAATGGTAATGAATTGCTTCCACTCTACAGTTTGAGGTTGACATGGCTGCTAAAGTCATCAGGAAGCTTTATCAAATAAACCTCACGTCAGCCCAGTTAGAAGTGAATCAGATCAATGTTTTTTTTTTTTCTCTGTGTGAATAATTGTAAGTTTTTGATGGCTGTGTTCTGTGTGTGCCGTGTTCAGGGTGTTTGTGTTTGCGGATTCTGCAGTATTTTCTGAGTCTCTCAGCACTGTTCTGAAGGCTGACATTGAGGCTCATGGAATGTTCCGGAACCCGTTGAGCTTGATGTGCTGCTTAGTGCAGCACAGTGTTCAGGCGGTACTGGGAGAGGATTGTCACGGGCCCTCTCTCAATGATGCATTGCAGGTCAGTAATGTTATCTAGAAAAGCTAGTTTTGGACTAGCATAACCAAGAAGTTCACTAGCAAATCCTAAATCCTGAAAGTGACTGATATCTCCTTTTGTGTTCCACAGAAGTAAGTAATGCATTCAGAGTTAAAACTTTATGATGCACTTTTTTCATTGTTTGTTGAACATATCTGGTAAAACAAACAACATAATATAATCTAGGTGCAACTGAAGAAGTTTGGGATTAATAGTTTCATTTAGAAGGATGCAATGAATTGATGAAAAATGACTTTTACATTGTTACAAATAAATTGTATTATAAATGGCATTCATTTGGAACGTTCTAATCATCAAATAACTTTTAAAAAATGTATCACCGTTTCCACATAAATATTAAGCAGCACTATTTTTTTCCCCAGCTGTTATAATAATAACAAATGTTTCTTAAGCACCAAATTGGAATATTGGAATTATTTTGAATGATGTGACACTGAAGACTGGATTGGCTGGAGTGAAAATTGTGTTTTGCCATCACAGGAATAAATTAAAGTTTAAAATATATTAAAATAGAAAACAGCTTTTTAAAACTGTAATACAAATTCCCAACATTGGTGTTTTTACTTTATTATTCATCAAAATGCAGCCTTGGTGGGCATAAGAGACAATAAAACAATAAAATGAATACCGACCCCAAACTTTTGAATGGTAGTTTAGGTCCTGTTATGTTTTTATTATGTATCTGCATGTCTGTACATAGATATGGTATGAATTATTCACTTTTCTGATATACTCGATATGCCAGTCATCCACAGTCACACTCAGAATTGATGTTTTCTAGGCAGCATCATTTATCACAGGTTTCTATATGAGTATGAGTCAAGAGTGTGAAATATTCAGATGTTACATTTTGTCACGGCAACAAGCTGTACATCAGAATGAGCCCTGGGACATAGTGCAACATGCCATTTTGCTCTTACCTAGTCAAAACTGTCCCTCTGCTGAAAAGTTTATGCAAGAGAAAGGGATTAATTATTCTAAATGAATGAGAAATGGCCTGTACCTATTAACCTGTGTATAACGGTCTAAGTAGGCTACTCTATCATTTTAGTTGTGAGACTATACAGTGATGGAGACAAAGGGTGAGCATTTATTGCAGGTCAGCATCTCTCTGTCTCTGTCCACACGTCAGCTGTCTGCAGTTTATTTTCAGAAAACTCAAAGCAACAGGACAGGACATCCACAGGACATCCCATATGTGTCTGTCTGAATTAGGGCTGTATGTTTGTGTGTGCATCTGCATTTGTGATTTCATGCTGTGTGGCTTTCTGTGTAGGTGTTTGTATGTCTGATTATTTGTCTGTGCATATGTCAGGACTTGGACCAGAACGTGGAGTCATACTTTAATGAAGTGCTTGCAGCAGTGGACCAGAGCACAGACGTCAACAGAGGTGATCGGGGGCAGATCAGACAGAAACTACAAGAGATATACTTACAGATCCTCCGTGACACAAAGAAAGGTACACTACAAAACTATTCTATTCTATTCTGCACGGTTTCTATATTCTTATCTATACTCTCTCACAAACACAAACAAACACTCTTGACCGAATCCATCTGTAACAAAATAACTTTTTTCTTTAATAAAAACCTATATATATATTTTTAGATATTTGATTTTCAACTTGTGCAGCCGTATCAGGAAGCAGGATTTGTTTGTGGTGTCATTGTGACGGTTTTGGGTTTCAGGTCTATTGTCCAGTGGCTCCCTGTGCGATGTTCCGCTTCCCAATCCGGAGATGAGCTTCCATCTGTGGTGGGAGGAGGAGGAGCTCTGTAAGTGGGATTCATTTGCTAAAATATTTTGGCAGGGGTTATTTGCACTAATAGCGTTGCAAGATAACAGTGTAAATTAGATGCTATTTACACTTAGTGCAAAAAGTGTCAGATACTATTTGCACCTCAGTGTATTGTAGTACATTATAAAACAGTATGCAATAATATCAACCTACTCAGTGTTTATTTATTCAAATAATAAACCCATTATGAAATACCTGCTTTTTTAGCACATTTTGAATATGTTCTTCTCTTTAAATTAATATAAACAAGCTGTTATGTGATGGGGAAAAAGCACAAGTTCGATACTAGAAAAAGGCAGATTCGAACTTGAGTCGCTGCACCAAAAGTGAAATCGAGTGTCCTTAATTCTCCACGCCTTTGTCCCAACTACTGATTTGCTTTATTTGTTAGTGTGCATATAAGGTAGTGTTAAAAGCCTTTGACAATGATTGACTGGTTGCATTGAATGCACTGACTGAATGATTGCAGACTTTGGTATCTGGTGAATCTGAGCATAATTTATGAAATTGTTGAGATCTCCTCTGATACACTAAAGGAGATACCAGTGAGATACACAGTAAAATAAACGTTTTTTTTTCTGGAAACATAAAAAGAGCTTATTATAGTAACTTCTACATTTACATAGTGCCTTTTATTAAAGTCAAAAGTGAGAGATTAGATTACAGCAATAAAAGTATTTTTTCAGGGTTAGATCATGTAAAAATAGATCTTAGCATACGTGAGCTCATCTAAAACCAAGAGAGTTACTATGATGAGGCTATTCACTAAAATACAACATATCTTTTCATCCTCTCTGTCACAGGGAGAGAACTGGCCAAATTCATCCGTTCCGGATCATTTAGTGAAAGCCTCATGAGTTCAGAGGAGTTCTATATGTCTGACCTCCCCACAGACCTCAACTCAGACATGCCACGGCACTCTGTCATGTCAACAGACAGTGGTATAGAGCGTGACATGCAGGGAAATGAGGCTTCTGACATGGAATTTACTGGAGGAAGTACCTTAAAGCCTGAAATTAGCAGTGGGCGGCTTTCACGGCGTGGAGGAATTAAGGTGAAGCCGTCGGTCACCGACAGCATGGCTCTGATGCAGGATGCACTGGAGGAGACGGGCACAGCTGGCAGCAGTGGCACACTGCAGAGGAGAGCAGGAAATAGTAGCAACAGCTTGCCCAAGGAAGAACGGGACTACACTGCTAAAATAGTGGTGATGGGAGATGACCGGGCAGTGGGAAGGCTGGCCAGGGCATGCTACTGGTTAAGGTATGAGACATTATGTCATCTGTGATATTTGTTATTATTTGACTCAAAGACAAATGAGAGTGTCTATGATCTGGTGTAACCATCAAGTAAAAAGTAATAACATAATAACATTTATTACTTACAGATTGAATACATTATTTCAAAAAAGTATATTTCCAATATTGTAAATGATTAATTCAGAAATGTCATTACATTTTAGGGAGTTGCATCTCATGACATTTTACAACCTGAACTAACCTTACCAGATCACAATAACATCAAATTAGCTGATATTTTAATAGACTTATTGAATATGACACATAGTCATTAGGGTCTGAAGGGATCCTTTTTATATTGTTTTCTTGTTTTATACTTTTTTGCATGTTTTCTCCACCACATGATTTTGTTGGCTATACCAAATGACTTTTTTTATTTTAATAAGAGTGATGTAGGGTTTTTTCTTCTAACAAATAATCATAAAATATTTCATCAAACTACTTAATAAGGTTTCTCTTTTCAGTAATTTTATCCTTTTAATGAGACTTGTTCATCATACTGTTATCAGAACAGTTGTATCACCCTGACATTTTTGCTATTACCTGACTTGAAGGTGGACAGGTTAATAATCCTGAAAAGGGCTTGAAGTAGCAACAACATTCAAATAACTGTCAGTTAAATGTAACTTGGCTTATGGGGTTGGTATAGAGTAAACATACCGTACAGTACAAACAGATCAATTAAATTGTTGTCTGTCTATTGAAGAAGACTCTTAATTCTCTGAAATAAGCAAGTTTTCTGTATGTTTCCTTATTCTAAGAAAATCAGATCCCTAAATGCTTTCACAGCACTGTGTTTAAGGTTCTGTTATGATTGAATTAAGTTTCGATAGCAAAATTTTGGCTTTGCTTCACAGGAAACGGGAAGCCAGGAGACGGTTTCTTACTATGAAAGTCAACCTACAGATGTACTACATCCCTGTTGCTCGCCAGTCGTCTACAGCCTCTCCTGTAAAGGTATAATATACCCTTTCCTTCCCTTTAAGTGGTAACTTTAGCAAGTGTGCTGTGGTGAATACTTGTGCATTGTGTTAATTTAAAATAAAAAAAAATTTCAATTTTTGCAGAACTAGTATGATCTTACACAATATCTGTTTTAGGAGAATGTGCCCTCTACAAGCAATAGCATCTGTGCTCTGGGCTCTTATCTTGGAATGGTGGATCCATGGTATGGATGCAATGTCTGTAGTCTTGGCCAGATGATTCCTGATCTTGCAAGAACGGTATGTCAAAAGATGTTTAGCATATTAGCCATACTTGGGTAAGTAGTGTGGGCATGTGTTCTTAGCAGATTATGTCAGTCAGTATGGAATGAGGAAGTCTGAAAGTTTCTCTTTAGGTTTTTTTTCTCTCTCTCGATCATTTCCTAGTGTAAATGCAAAGTTAGTAACTGTTCATTGTGAAAAACATGTTCCTCTTGCCATTTTGGCTTACGCATTAATTTTTTCAAATTTGTTAGCCTGTTTATTGCTTTGTATATTAAGACGTTTGTGAATAAATGCCAGAGTTTAATCCAGGATATATTTACATTACCATGCTCATGGCATATATGCAGATATCCCCTTGTGAAAAACAAGTATACATTAACATACTTTTAAAATAGAGTACACATTACAGAAATAATATACTTAAAAAGAATATACTTAAGTGCAAACTAAATGTAATATTTTCAATCACTTAATTGCATCTTAATTGCAATTAAATGAAAATGTATCATAGTTTTAATTTATATTAAATCCTAAACTTTAGCATGCTTTTTGACCCACTTAAGTAGGATTTAGTACAATTAGTACAATTTAAATGTAATTTCATAATTACTTCTATTGTCCTGGAAATATGGCTGAAGTGTACTGCTTAACACGCTGACAAGCATTTATGGTAAACTAAAATATACTTTAATGTAATTTCTATTGAAACTTTTATGCCATTTACAACCCCAATTCCAGAAAAGTTGGGACGTTTTGTAAAGTGCGATAAAATCAAGAATCTGTGATTTGTTAATTAACTTTAACTTTTATTTAATTGACAAAAGTGCAAAGAAAAGATTTCCAACTTTTTAAAATTTATTTTGTAAATATAAACAAATTTAGATTTTGATGGCTGCAACACACTCCAAAAAAGTTGGGACAGATGCAAAATAAAAGTGAAAGGGTTATAGAATAGCCAAATTAAACTGTTTTAAACCGTTCACAGTAAGCAGGTGAACTGGTAATAGGTGAGGGTATCATGTTTGAGTATAAAAGGAGCATCTCAGCCTTTGCAAGCAAAGCTGGATCATTTAAAATCATTAAATCATTAAAATCATTAAAATTTTGGCAAATTTTACGAGAGAAGTGTCAAACAAATCAAAAATCACATTTCTCAATGCAAAATCGCAAAGAATTTAGATCTTACACCAACTACCATACATAATATTGTGAAAAGATTCAGGGACTCCAGAGAAATCTCAGTCTGTGTTGGGCAAGGCAGGAAACCTCAGTTGAATGTGCATGACCTCATGCTGGGGTGTGAAATACAGCCACATGGGCTCAGGAGTACTTCGAAAAACTGCTGTCACTTAATAGTCTGCCGCTGCATCAATAAATGCAACTTGAATCTCTGTTACTCTAGGAGAAATCTATGCATCAATTCTATGCAGTGCAGGGTTCTCTGGGCCAGAGCTCATCTCAGACAGTCAAAAAGACAGTGAAAATAGGTGCTGTGGTCAGATGAGTCCACGTTTCAACTTGTTTCTGGGAAAAATGGACGTCGAGTTCTCAATCCCAATTAAAGACCAATGGGACCATCCAGATTTTCATCAGTGACAGATGCAAAAGCAAACGTCTGTCATGGTATATGGGTGCAGCAGAGCAAACGGCATGGGTGACTGGAGTATGTGTGAAGGTACCATTGACATGGAGGCATATATTGGAATTGTACAGAGACATGCTGCCATCAAGGTGATGTCTTTCATGAGAAGTCCATGGTTATTAGTGAATGTGCTAGACTGGCCTGCCTGCAGATCAGATCTGTCTCCTATTGAAAATGTATGACCAGTCATGAAAAGGAGAATCAGACAATGACGACCATGGACTGCTGAGCATCTGAAGCCTAGTATCAAGCGAGATTGGACAAAAAATTTGGCTTGCAAAACTTTAACAATTAGTATCCAGAATTACCAAACAATTAAACATTGTAATGAAAAGGAAAGTTGATGTGACACAGTGTTAAACATGCCTTTGTCCCAACTTTTTTGGAGTGTGTTGCAGCCATCAAAATCAAAATTTGTTTTCTGGCAGGTCACGTTAGTCAAGCTCACATCAGCTGACTCTCAGCTGATCCACGTCTACCTATAGGGAATTGACACCTACCACAGCATCCATATATAAGCTTCTTCAGTATTATTAGCAGCTTCGTGTTGGCTTAATAGCTAATTACCCTCCTCCATCCCCAACTCCTCCTCTCATCCAGTCAGGATTCGGCCTTCTGATTCCCCTTTGAATCAGACTAATTTCTAAAATGTGTACATTAAATTATTGAATATTAATGATATCTGCAATACATTTATGTAGGTTCTGTTCTGTTTATCCTAGGGGGATTATCGCTGCTCTCCCTGCTCTCATCCATGCTAGGCTGCATGGATGCGCAGGGAGTTCTTGCCCAGAACAGAACCATACCGCCAATCTAAACTGTATGCTAATTGTCAGTTATCTTTGACGATAGTGGTCCTGACAGAATAACATTTTCTTGATTTTATGGCATTTCACAAAATGTCCCATCTTTTCAGGAATTGGGGTTGTACTTAAATTTGTAATTACACATTTGTAAGGATGAATTATTTGACTTAATAACAAAGTGCACTTTTTAAAATTGTATTTAAGTGTGCTATGAAACATAGTCATGAAGGTGTACTCTCTAAGTACACTTAAGTGGCCTTTTATTTCTTTAATGTGTATTATCTGCAAGTACAGTAGTTTTTTTTTTTTTTTTTTAATATATACTTTTAAGATTTGAAGTACAAGTGCACATTCAAGAGTCATCGAACATCACTCCTAATGAATGATGTCAGTAGGACTTTAAATTATAATTAACTTAAAAAATGCAAATTGTTCTGCTTTGTTTTATTTTTAATCTTCCAGTCCAGCACTGGCAAACCACAAGAATCTGACCTTTTCTTAGCTGACATCATCTCGTACTATGTGCGCATGGGACAGCAGCCGGTGTACTTCAACATTTACTACGTTAAGGTGAGAATGAATGACCTTTTGTAATGTTTTACGCAATCATTTTTTTTCCAGCTGATGGTATGAGATTCAGGTGTAATTTAATCACCAAGTAAGTTTGCATGTAGAAGAAACATTTTTGTTGTTGTTGTTATTGTTGTTGTTAGTTACTCTGAAGTTTGCAATAAATATGTAATATACAAAATAAACATAAAAGATGTGAAAGCAGCATAAAAAGAACAAGAGAAAGTGTAAAGAGTGATAAACTCTGTTCCATATTGAGCCACAGGTAAAGCTATTTAGGTCATTATTTAAGCTGTTAAATGATCTACAGAACACATTCCGAATTAAAAAATACCAGTCTTGTTTTTATGCTCTGTTCTATTTGTCCAGATTTACTTTTCCGACAAGTCCAAAGAAGCTGTGGAAGAAGTTTTTGTCACAGACCTGGAAGTGGATTTTCCACAGTTCAGAATGGCCCAAGCTACACAAAAAGGTATTCAATAACAAAATTCAGGATAAGTACAGTCAATGCGACACCTAATTTAGGCCAGCGGTTCATTCAGCCAATATTTACAGCCCATATTCTTCCCTTAGACACTGTCAAACAGAGGAAGATGCCTGCCGAGCTGTGTGGGGCACTGATCTCGTTTAGCTACTTAAAAGTGAGTATCACTTCTGCTGTCTTTTGTTATTAGAGTATTTATACAGTACATTCATGTACATAGTCACATATAAAATGACTGGTGTTGCTGATTGGTCAGTTTTCCAGTCAGTGACATTCTTTAGTTACAAAGAAACATTCTGGATTTTTTTTTTCTAGAATTAAAAATGAAGTGACCAGCAAATCATAGTTGACCTCATATGGCCCTTCACATTCCTTTTAGGTGTCGCTAAGCAACAGGGAGGTTGAGAGAGGGTTCTCACTCAGAACCACAGGTGCTCAGATTTCAGCAATACCACAAAACAAAACTGAAGGTAAAGTTAAGTTATTTGAATAAAAGGTATTTATTTTCGTTAATCAATTTAGATAAACATTAACTTTAACCTGAACAATTTTAAATGAATTACTATTTTTACTTCCCACTTTGTAGATCTCAACTGTCTCATGGTCGCTTTCAATAACATAAAGGCAACGAGTATCATGGTAGGTCTGACTAGGCCAAACTGAGAAAACTACATACTTTTCTTTTCTTTCTTTCTTTCTTTCTTTCTTTCTTAGATAGATAGATAATTTATGTATGATCTTTTTCACTTTCTGCTTTTATGTTGCTTATGTTTAACTCTGAAGTGCTTTTAGCTTGGCTGTCATGAGAAGTAAATGCAACTTATATCTGATTAAGTTCAGATATTTATGCTGTGATTTTTTTTTTTAGGAGACAAAGATCAGAACATGCAATTTTAAATTGAAGACACCAGACAGATCAACGTTCACAGTGCATTTGGACAAAGACTTTCGAAGAAAATTTATGAACGTTGAGAGGTGAGAAATCAAGGCTTTTTTCCCTCATGTTATCTTTTTAATGAAGAGGCCCATTATCTACTCTACCATTCAAAAGTGTGGGGTCGGTAAGATTTTTTTGTTTTTTTTTTGAATGAGGTCTCATATGCTCACCAAGGCTGCATTTATTAGATCAAAAATACAGTGAAAACAGTATTTTAAAATATTATTACTGTTTAAAATAACTTTTTTTTCTATTTTAATATATTCAAAAAAATATGTATTCCTTTGATAGCAAAGCTGAATTGTCAGCAGCCTTTACTCCAGTCTTCAGTGTCACATGATCCTCCAGAAATCATTATAAAAGTTGATTTGGTGCTCAATTAACATGTCTTATTATTGTCACAGTTCAAAAGAACAGTATTAATTTGTAATATAATTTTTTTGTAACAACGTAAAAGTTTTGCTGTCACTTTGGATTAATTTAATGCATCCTTGGTAAATAAAAGCATTACGTATTAAAAAAAAAAAAACTCTTACTCACCTCAAACTTTTGAACAGTAGTGTATTCTTAAACAATTTGAATCCAAGATTTACTTGATTTGAAAAAATAAATAAAATATAGAATATGAAGAAAGAATAAATATTGCCTTTTTCTTAGAGTGATGCTGATTAGAAATAATACTGATTGAAAACAATGATTTTGTTGCATTGTATTATATTTTCTAACACAGCATTGAGGTTGCTCCATGTCGAGACCCTGGATATTATGTTCAAAAATCCTTAAAGTCAAAGTTCATGGCAGAAGGCAACAGTGATGCTGGACTGAGTAAATACATGAGCAAAGGACTGACTCTGCCCATTAACACGTTTGCTGGAATAATCGACTAAACGAACAAGGATCGAGATGGAGGATGCTTGCTGTCAACATAAAGGCCAGTTCTGGACTCTTGCAGTATGTTATGTGTATTGTGTTTTAAACAATGCATTGTGCAGTAGTGTCACCATGTGATCAAATGATCAGCTAAGACACTTCACCAAGCAGGCTTTACTGCAATAAATACTCTTATCTGTGAATCACAAGATGATCGGTCCAGGAAGTATTTTAATGTGTAACACAGCTAACTCACTAACACTAATGCAGTCATGGTATTGAGCTTCTCAAAGACTTAGGATTTACTTGAACTTGTTTTCTGCTTCAACAATCAACCTGTTCCTTAATATGTACACTTTAAGTACATGTGAAGGAGAGAATTCGTTCATCTGGATTTTCCACCAGAAAAACCAAGTACATTATAATGCAGGAATAATGTACAGTGATTAGTATGTCTGTATAACATAAAATACATGCCATATGACCAAGTGTTTCAGAGAAACTGACATTACCTTTGCACTTATTTGATACATTCTTTGTTTTATGTTTTTATTTTTATCCCACTATACATGTTTACATTTGGGACCTTCCATAAGAAGTTTTTATAGCATCAAAAACATTTTAAAATTAAAAAGCATAAAGAATGTGATTTTTTTATTACTTTCTATGTGATTGATATGTGTACAACAGCACAATTGTTACACAAATGGTTCAAGCTTTGAAATGTTGTATTGTGCATCAAGCTGGTCATGGGTCAAAGTCTTTCTTTAAAACAATGATTAGTGGTGCCAATATTTTGATCTGACTTCTTTGCATCAATCTCTGTACATTCGGAATTATATTTTGGGGTTCTTTTCCAGCAGTTCTGATCTGACCCCAATAATCCCAGTCTACCAGTTATTCCAGCCATTTATTTTAAAGAACAAACATATAATCACAATAATATTATTAGGCAACCTAATTCAGTTCTATTTCTTTTCGTTTTATGGCATTCATTTATGCCAAAAGTTTGCACAATTGTTGATTTGACCTCTGGTTTTGTAAATACATATGCTATGTAAATGTAACCTTTTCAAATTATTCCAAAAAAAAAAAACGCAAAAAAAACTTGGGTCCAGATTTATTCACACAATTGCAATGTTTAAAACGTTTTTGATGATGAGGATGATGATGATGAAGCATTATGAAATAAAATTGAAGGTACCCTGGCGGCACAAAAATTGTTGTTGTTGTTGTTGTTGATGAGGATGACCACAAGATGTCGTCAAGGAGTCAGGAACAGCAGTGCAACCGCTGCCGCTGCGTGATGATATCTATTTATCCACAGCCGTCGCGATTTTCCTCAGTAACGAGAACCGCTGGATCCGCTGCATTTAGTGAGCTTTCTTGATTTACCTATCTTAACTAAGTGAAGGTATTCGCATTAGATTTGGCTTCAGTGGCGTGTGATGGATGGAAAGCGCAGACCATCCTGTCAGTATGGATCCCTGGAATGCACGAAATGGAAAACAGATGTGGACCAAACAGGTATCCCTACACCTGTCTCTGTATCAAAACCTGTCAAAACGTATTGGTGAAAGGTATAGTAGACTATCACACACTTGCATTTTCTTCTCCACTGGGGTTTGTGCCGATTGAATGCCACAGGTGGAACTTCTGCTAATGTAAAGAATGAGTGCAGGTTGGAAAGTGTTATGCTGAGATCTGAAAACAGCTAAATCTCATAGTTTAGCCATGCTCTACACGGAGATATATTTTGTGTAGATTGCTTGCTATTCGGTTTTAATGAGGATTTAGAAACAGATATTTTTAAAATCAGTCATGGAAATCACTCATTTGAACTCAGAGATGGAAAAGCGATTAAAAATAGAACAATATGCTCTTGTTGAGTTTACAGTGTCATACTGGCTTCATTCCTTTTGCTAAAATGTGTGCACCCTTCTACTCTCCCATCATAGGGCAGTGAACCTTCTGCTGCTTTCAGCTCAGCTACTGAACCTTACTAAAAAAAAGTTTTGCAAAATAAACGTATGGAGATCATCAGAGTAAAGCAAATTCAAATAGGTCCATTAAAATAAGTAAACTATATTATGTATATATGCATACACACACACACATCAACTGTACACTTAAAAAAAAATGTGTAATATTTACCGAAAAAAGATTGTAAAAACGTGACAATAAAAACCTTTTAATAGTGAATATAATGTAATTTTACTGTAAAATGCTGTTTTTTTTGGAAGTAAGAAAATTTTCCATTTCATTTATGGTGGAAAGCAATAAAATGACTCGTCACATATTTTATTTAAATAGTTTTGTTTCTTTACTTTTTGTTTTTTATTACACGTCTAACCAAGAAATTCCTTCTGCAACACTTGAGTTATTTTCTGTACTGTACCACATAAATTATACTGCTTTCTCACTCAGTAGAGCACATGTATTTGAATGATTTTTCTTTATGAATGCCTAACTTGACATAAAAAGCCTCAATGCTTCAGTGTTACCTTACACATGAAGAGCAACTTGCCTCTATAGGCACTGATTTTTGAACAGTTCTTTTTGCAAGCATTTGTGATTTAAATGTTCTAGTGTCATCTTAGATCAGTACCTGAAGATACTTATTGATGGTTTGGAGACGATTAGGGTCATGTGACAAATAAGAAAGGAAAAAGAAAATGTAGGTTTACTAATCTTTTTTTTATTTTTAAAGTCTACAGTACAGAATAAGAATTTAGATTACATTTTAATGCTGCAATAGGAAAAATAGGGATCAAGAAATCAGTGCTATTATTGTTAAATAACAATGAAATGAAAATAAATTAAAATTAAATAGATATGTAAAAGAACTAATAAAAAAGACAAAAGCACGTTGTAAAATTGCTTAAACTATATATATATATATATGTGTGTATATATATATAT